TGGAGTCGCCACCAATGTTTTACTCAAAACATTGGAAAAAGAAAAGGTTTTTAAAAGTCCAATAATGGCCTTGATAACCAGAATTGGGTTCGGGGTTCGGTTACATGTAGGGAAGGTATTAAGCACCCCTACAACGCCCTAAATCGGTACCCTATGATGAAGATAACGTAATAAGAATTAATAGTTTAAATATTTAATCCCCTTTATTAATGATTATTTACATGAAAATTTAATTACACAGTGAACCCTAAGATATCTACATAATTGCGTTTATTATAGCAATATATGAAATAAAAGAAGAGAAAGATAGAACAAGAGATTGATGAGTAATACCTCGTAGCAAGCTTTATTAGATCTTCAACTATAGAGATTTTAGGTGTTTTGCGACAATCTTTCACCCTACAATATGACTCACAAAACTCAAGAAATACAATAGGAGAGAGAGAGAGAAATTTCGAGCTCTAAGGAGTCTTGGACGAAATTTTTGAGGTCTTGAGAACTGTGCCCAAACTGTCTATTTATAGGCATCAGAAAGGTTTCCAGAACGACCCGTTCCAAAACTGGAACGACTCGTTCTGGATCTGAATGTTGTGTGTTAATCTTGTGACTGGAACGGCCTGTTCTGAAACTAGAACGACCCGTTCCAGAATTGAGATAGATTAACACATGATTGCCTAGACTAGAATGATCGTTCCAAACAAAAGTTTGTAGGTTATTTTAATAACTTGGAACGACCTGTTCCAGTTTAGGAACAACACGTTCCAGTTAAGGTTTTAGCCCTTTTCTGAGGAGTTTGGAACGGCCGTTCCAAATTAGGGTTTTAGGCCCTTTTAGGAACTTGGAACGACCCGTTCCAAATTGGGAACGACTCGTTCCGATTTTACAACAGCCCGTTCCAAGCTACTAAAACCAGCTTGTTTGGACTTTTAGTCCTCCTGATGTCTTGTCCTGTTATTTTCATGCTTGGGAGCTTTATTTCTTTGATGATAGACGTCCATTTCATTGCTTGTATGCCCCTAGACGAAATTGGGTGTCTACATTCATTATATTGAATAACAAAATTATATTATTATAAATTGTTTTAACTCTTAAAATATTCAATATTATAAAAAAAAAATAGTTTTTTATTAAATAATTTTATTTTAAAAACTATCATTAAATTAAAACTCATCATCATTAATTTATAAA